GTGCTGAGGAATTGAACCCAGGGCCTCATGCATGCAAGGCAAGCGCTCTACCACTGAGCCACCTTCCCAGCCCCTAGCCTTATGCTTTTTACCCGGACTACTATAGACTATGATCTTCCTATCTGTGCTTCTTGCATAAGCTGGGACTACAGGCATGAGCTACCATACTTAGCCCTTGAATTCTTAGAATCACCATTGGCTTGACCTCTTTTACATGCTCTTCTCCTTGATCACCTCCTAGAGTTGCCTCTTGGGTCATCTTTACAAAGAACTCAGGGTTCTGTGACACCAGTCTGTGTGATGAAGAGGAGGGGTCATGGGAGGAGAAGCAGTTGCTGGGGATGGGAGAAGGGTTGGTTGGCTCCATCGATAGGTCAGAAGGGTCTTAGCTCCTACCCCAGCTTGCATTAGAAGCCTCAAAGTCATGGTGCAGAAAACTGACCATTAACTCTGATGTGAACTTTCCAGGAAGCTCCTGAATAATTGATGTGGAAAATGTTAAAATTCCTGAGTGCTGTAAACGATCCTTGGCTATTCCTCCTGAGGGACTGGGTGAGGGCCATGCTGTCCACGTGCTGTCCATGTACACAGGTCTCAGTCCCCAGAACAAGCTGTTCCAGCTGAGAACTGTGTTCTCTGGCCACCATGGCTGGAGCACTGTCCATAGTGTTGTTTTCCAGTGGTTCTGTGCTTCAGAACCCACAGCAAGGGGACCAATTTAAGAAGCAGCAACATTTTTTTTGTCTGAGATTGGGACTCCATGTTAACTATTTCCCCAAAGAACTCCTTTCTCTGTATAGACCATGAGAATCATACCATTGATCTTCTTTGCTTTGGCCCCCAGGATGCTTAGAAATGGCAAATAAACCAGTCTTTCCTCGACAATTTGGTGTTAGCATCATCCAACATAGACAACTCGCAGAGTACCTGTGTGAATGAAATCTGAAGGATTGAACCTGGCTCAAACTCCTACATTAGGGGTTTGTGCAGATTGCCATGACATTATTTGCTGTTGGAGTTGCATGACTGTTCCAAAGGATGCCCCTGAAGGTGGTAAATGCTTAGTGCCTGGCTCAGAGACATTGGCTAGGATCACTAACATTTGTGTATCTAAGTTTCCTCATCTCAACAATAGAGGAGTAGTCTCTCAGAGTGTTTCTGTGGGTTAAGTGAGATAGTTTATATAAGTTACACAGGCACTCCATAAACTTAATTCTAAAATCTGGATAAAGCTATTAAATCACCATCACAGTTCAAGCAAACAAATCAACAATAAAAATCAAAGCCCCATCTGTATTTAAGATTCCTGACCTTCAATTCCTTAAGCAGGATTCAAAAGGTTCTCACTAAAAAAAAAAAAAAATGGTGTCAGGTGCAAGTGTCTCACAGCTGTAATTCTAGGTATTCAGGAGGCTGACATCTGAGGATCACAGTTCAAAATCAGTCTGGGCAGGAAAATCCATTAGATTAATCTCTAATAAACTACTACAAAACCGGAAGTGGTGCTGTGGCTCAAGTGGTAGAGCGCTCACCTAGAGCTGAAGAGCTGAGGACAGTGCCAGGCCCAGAGTTCAAACACCACAACCAGAAAAAAAAAAGGCTAAGTTGGACTACACTGAAATGAAGAACTTTGGTGAGAGTTTGGATGAGATGTGGGAGCAGGTGGTGTGGGCAAGTGGGGAGCTGCTGGACTGCCCAGAAACTGAGTTGTGAGCAGGGTCAAGGCCATAGCTAGAGAGAGCAGAATGCTTTTTGAAAGACGAGTTTCTAGATACACTGAGATTTGGCAATCTGGAGAATGTGGAGGTGTTTGTTGATGTAGGTGCTTGGAAGTGGCTAATAGATCCAGAGACACAAACAAGGCCTTCTGCCTTCTTTCCACTACCATGGAGGCGTCCACCTCTTTATTTTCTCTCTAATAGGTTTGTTCTTTGCTGGATTCCTTTGCAGTTAGAGAGATGCAAATCTTAGAAGCAGCCGGCAGGAAATGTGCACTATTTGCTCAACTCCTCTGTGTGTGTGTGTGTGTGTGTGTGTGTGTGCCCATACAGTGGCTTCATCTCAGAGGGTTCCTCAGGGGTCTCACACTTATTCGGCTTTCTTGCTCAAACGGGACTCTATCATTTGAGCCATGTCTTCAGCCTTGATTTTTTTTGCTAGTTCATTGGAGACAGAGTCTTGTGGATTTTTCTGGCTGGTCTGGTTTCAAACCACAGTTCTCAGGATCTGAGGATCTGAGCCTCCTGAGTAACTAGGATTACAGTCATGAGCCTCTTATGCCTGACTCAAAATGTCCCTGATGACCACATACACTATCAGTGCCTGTTTAGGACCTCTGTTGCAGTTTTACTGTCATGTGTAGCCATTCATGCAGTTGAAATATCAAATTCTTGGTGACAGGATTAAACTGAAGTGCCAGCCCTCCTTCAGTCTGTGTGGTATGCTTCTGCATTCTCCTCTGTACCAAAGCCAGTGTCAGAGGGAAATGACAGCTGGGAGCTGATGGTTCGTGCCTATAATTCTAGCTATTCAGAGGCTGAGATCTGACTGTTGAGATTTAAAGTAGCCTGGGCAGGAAACAGAGCTGTGGCTCAAGTGGTAGAGCACTAGCCTTGAGCAGAAAAGCTCAGGGACAGTGGCCAGGCCCTGAGTTCAAGCCCCAAGACTGGCATGCGCGCACGCACGCACACACACACACACACACACACACACACACACACACACACACAGCGCAAACATTTCTTCACCAGATGTAAACTTTCGTCTGTCTCATGCTTATACTATTTAGGCCACTGTTTTAAGGCTCGATATAATTGATATCTTAAATGAAGGCAAAGAACACACTATAGGTTTCTCAATATACACATTCAGCTGTAAATGACACCCTGTCTGGGCAGTTAAGAGTCCTGTTGTTTCAGATAATTAGATTTTCTGCTTGGTAGATGTGCCAGTGGATTAGTATAGCAGATACCACTGACCATCCCACTCGCTCACAAGAATAATAGACCAGGCACTGGTGGCTCACACCTGTAATCCTAGCTACTCAGGAGACTGAGATCTGGAAGAAAAAGTTCATGAAACTTCTTGCTCTCACTCCCCAAGTCTGCACAGATAGCTTACACAGGGAGCGAGCAGGTAACAATAGGATCTAGCCTGTGATAGTTTGTTTGATGAATGTTTCCTAAAGGCCCATGTGTTGGGCTCCTAACCTAGAACACATTGGGAGGTGGTGGAACCTTTAATAGGTGGAGCCTTGGGATAGCACTTTAGGTCATGGTGGGGGCGGGGTTGTCCTTGAAGGGTATATTGAGACTCCAGCAGCTTCTTCTCTTTCAGTTCATAGCTGCCATGAATAGGTCTTTCTCCACCAGGCTTCCTACCATGATGTTCTACCTTGCCATAGGCCTACAGAGGGAGAGGCTAAAGCTTCTGAAACAGCGAGCTGAGACTTAAACTTTTCCTCCAGATAAGCTGATTCTCCAGGTCTTTTGTCACAGTCCCCATCCTCTCTGTTTTCTTCTCCTAATCATGAAAGACTCGGGTAATTCTGAGCTGTGTAGAGACAGTGGCCATGGGGGCAGTGTTTCAAGTCTCTGGAGTATGTTTGCAGAGCCGGGTTAGACAACTCCCTGTGGCCTGTGAAATCCGAGCACTCAACCAGAGGGTGGTATTACTGTTTCCAAGTTGTAAGTGGGGCAATTGGGATTTCTACTAGCAGCTTGTTCCAGATCATGCAGCTGGCAGGTGTCTGTGCCAGGCATTGCATACCACATCACACCAACTCTGAGGGAGCCTCAGGGCACCCAGGGGCTCTGCCAGGCGCTAGTACCCACTTGTCTGTGAGCAGCCATCATGAGCTCAAGCAGACAGAGGCTCTACCTGACTTCTCTGAGAATCACAGGATGTCACCTTCCCCTTCTCTGTTTCAATCTGCTACAGGTTCCATCTCCCCTGGGACCACAATCTCCTCCCCCGCCATCTGTCCCCAGAGGCCAGAGGAAGGGAAGCCACCCTCCCCTCCTCCCCACCTCATCGGGAGCTCCATGGAGCTGTCGTCTGTTGGGTGACAGAGACAACGTTATAGAGCATCTGTTTTTGGAGCCCGGGTCTCCAGGGAGTCCCGGGCTGTCCTTCCCAGCAGGGGTCAGATGGAGATGGCTCCCTGCCTTCAGTTTTCCCCCCAAGAAACCAGGCAGCCTTCTTCTGAAGGCTGGAAAATGGCTCACAGACCTTGCAAGCCGAGCACCCTCTTTCTTCTTGCAGTAGCTTGGCCCCAAAGCCCTCTGACTTTCCTGAATCAAGGCCTTCCTCTGCCTCCTTCCTCTGCCCCAGTCTTCCCCTCTGCCCCATGTGGGGACAATATGAAGGACGCTGGGGTTTTCTTTATGATGGACAGGGATGAGTTGAAATGTCTGGAGGAGAGATGTGGCTGGGGTTGGCCGGTGCGGGACTAGCCTGTCTTGACTCATGATGTCTGCCCAAATCCTGAGAGGCCAGTGGGTGATTGCTCTCCCCGCGTTGTCCACAGGAAATGGCAGATCTGCTTCTGGTAATGGGTGATGGCCCCACTTTCCCTACCACCCTCCCATGGCTCCTAATGCTGTGACTCATTCACTTTCCAGATCTTGTGAGCTCTGGCTCCTAGCAGTGAGGTCTTGTGTGGGGAGCCTTGGGGGGCTGCTTTTTCCTGCAGGGGACTTGTCTGGCTGCTCTTCTAAACTGGCAGGGGTTAGGGCTGTGGAAACGCCAAATGGAATACCCACCAGGCACCTGCTTTACCTACATTCCTCATCCAGGCAACATTTCCCGAGTACCCACTAGGTGCCATGTACCAAGCAGGGCCTGGGACTCCCTGGGAACAGGATGGGCATGGTCCCTGTTTCCTGGAAGCGTATTCCTCTCATCAGACACCTGGCTCTCCTCCAGCCATCCCCACAACCCCTTCCCCAGGCTGGGCTGCAGGTGGGCTGGAGAGGTAGATGGATGAGGAAGAGACTTACAGGGTCAAGGGCGTTTGAAGGACATGTAATCCTTAGAGCAGAACAGCAGAGCCAGCCTGCCCATGGGCACAACTCTGACTTCTCCCGGGGAAGGCCCCTCCACTGACCTGCAGGGACGCAAACAAACAGGTAAGTGATGGGCACCACTGGCTCTGCAGGCTGGGCCTTTAGATCCTAGGCCTCCAACTATGGGAGCGGGGGAATGAAATGGGGGGAAAGGAAGGAGACCTGGAAGCCTGCACCCTGGGACTCCTGGACTACAGAGTTCAGAGGTGTGGGTGCAATGTAGCAGAGTGGGTGCTGGGGTCCCAGTGGTGGGCAGAGGGGGTAGGACATCTCTTATGGATGGACCTGAATCCTGAACAAGAGATGCCAGGAGTCTCTTTTCTCGCAGACCTGAGGGGGTCCCACTGCCTTGCTAGCTTCAGTGACTCCCAATTCCTCCCACAGCTGCCTGATGTATTCATTCCACAGCTGAACACTGCAACCTGAAGGGTAGGGTGGGGGCTAGGTGGTCACACAGCTGATTTTGGTAAGGTGATTACCTTGCTCATGTAACTGTAACCCATCTGCATGGTATCTTTACAATAATATATATATATATATTAAAAAAAAGTTGAAGAGGAGGATGCTCAGAGAGATCATGTTGTTTGCCCAGGGTCACACAGCAAAGGACTAGAGTCTAGGTCTATTTGACTCCAGAACTCACACAGTCAGCCAGCACACCCTTTAGAAGGCACTTAACAAGTTAAGTCACCCACTGAGAAACAAAGATCTGTGGAAGGGAGATGCCTCTTTCCCCTCTCCCTTCTCCCCACCTGCATTTCCTCCAGATACCTGGATAGCTCGGGCAGCCAGGAACTGCCAGATTGCTTCAACATGCATTTACAATGGAGAAAATATTTTCACAAAGTACAGCTCAGAAGCTGGTCGGTCTTGTGTGTCCCTGGGAGACACGAGGCTGAAAGAGTAGAAGGGTGATGTGTTCTTACTTCTTAGGGAGAAACCATGCTACACTTTGGGGAGGAGGGGTGGCTGGGCAGGATCTGGGATGAGGGGCAGACACAGAGATCACAGGGCAGCAGCACGGCCTCTCCGCCTGGATCTCAGGAGACCGCTGGCTTCTCTGATCGTGAGATAATACTGTAGACAGAACGTGTCTGTAAGAGGCAGGTGCCCAGGCCTCCATCTTGGTTTCTCTTAGGGACTCTTTTTATTATGTGAGTGCTGGCCATGGGGCTTGAACTCGGGGTGTAAGCACTTTTTTTTTTCCACTCAAGACTTAAGCTACTACTTAAGGTTTTTTTTTGTTTGTTTGTTTTGGTGGTTAATTGGAAAACTTTCCTGACTGAGCTGGCTTTGAACCATGATCCTCAGATCTTAGCCTCCTGAGTAGCTAGGATTACAGCCCTGAGCCACCAGAGTGCCTGGCTTAGAGGCTTTTTATTTAGATCTATTTTTCTCCACCATGCAGATCCTGTGTTTTGATGGAGCCCATCGGCCAAGCAAACAGCATTGACTAATTGGCTTTTCTACTGAACAAATGAATCAGAGAGGCCTCTCTTTGGGGAGTCTTGCTTGGAAGTCTGATTTCTGAGCACTAATGTCAACTCAGCCACTTCCTGGCAGGGACTGTGGGCCAAGCAATTTACCTCTCAGAGCCAGGCATCTGGCACAGAAAGCAGGGCAAGAGCACACAGTGTGCTTGGGGAACATGGGTTCTGATAACAAGCCCCTGGCCGGCAGAAGGGAGCTTCAGAGATGCCTGCTCTGCCCCCCCCCCCGTAGGAGGCAGGCACCAGGCCTGAGACCCTTCTCTAGGTGGCTCCTTACAGCTACCTCAGCCTTCCCTAAGCCAGGGAACCCCTGTGGCTGGCCTGCCATCCATCCTCAGTCTCCATGGAAACAGAGGGGCAATCTCTGACCTGGGATGCAAGGGTAACAGGTGGATCTTGCAGGAGCCACTGGGGAACTGTGACTTCCCAACCAGACAGTCCAAGAAGAACCCCAACGCCAGGATTCTTATGTTCTGAAAATACATACAGGCATGTATGTATTGTGTGGATGTGCTGGTGTGTGCTGCGTGTGCATATGTACACATGTGTGTCTAGGCATGGGGGACACAGATGGGCTGAAAATTCACCTCTCCTGTTGCTTCCACAGATCTCTGTCTGTCTGTCTGTCTGTCTCTCTCTCTCTCTCTCTGTGGTTAGTCGTGGGGCTTGAACTCTGGGCCTGGGTGCTGACCCTGTGCTCTTCAGCTCAAGGCCAGTGCTTTACCACTTGAGCCACAGTGGCACTTCTAGTTTTCTAGTGGTTAATTGGAGATAAAAGTCTCACAGACTTTCTGCCTGGCCTGGCTTCGAACCATGATCTGCAGATCTCAGCTTCTTGGGTAGCTAGGGTTGGAGGTATGAGCCACTGGCGCCTAGCAAGCTCTTCCTTTTCAAGGCAAAATGGATGACATGACATCGCTCTCTTGTTGAAGCCTTCTGTAGCTCCCCAGTACCCTCAGGAAAATGGGCCTGGTTTCTTACCCCAACCTCCACCATCCTGAGGTTTTCCCTACTTCTCTAGTAAACTGGCACAGCAGATGTCTAATGGATGGATGTCTAGCCAGACACCTGATGCCAGCCAGTGATGGGTAGACCATCACTGCGACTGCAGGGGCTGCCCTCAAGTCCTGCCCTCCCACACCTCCCCTGTCCCCCACCCCCTTTCCTTTCAATGGTCCCAGGATGAAGGCTGAGACTCCGACAGGCATGTTAACCCAACACTTCCAACGTGCTAGATAAGCCACTGCAATGGGCCCTTTGGGGAGGGGGGAGATCATTTCTGCTTTGCAAATAGGGAATACAGGTGACAACGTGTTCAAGGTCACAGAGAAGAGATGAAGGAAGAGCTGAGTGGGAGGGTCTCTGTTACCCACAATGCCCCTCCATTCCTGCCAGGAACATGCCACAGAGATCTGCTGCCCCTGGTGTTCTGGCTGAACCTCTTCCTGGATACAGTGGACCTCTCATACTTCCAGGCCTTGCCCTTAGTATACCATCCCTTCCTCCACCTGGTAAACTCCTATACAGCCATCAACACCCAACTCAAGTGATGGCTTCATGAGAATTACCTTGAGCCATGGAGAGAAGGATCCTACTGAGGATTCTTCCACAACATAAAGCCACTTCCAGACCAGCCCTGGTCCTAAATTATTCTAAATGAGGACTCCTGGCGGGATATAGAGGGAGCTTTCAATAGTACCCAGGAATGTGGGACTGTGGGACTCAGTCAGTCTTGGCCTGATTCTAACATATGAGGATGAGCAGAAGATGTTTGTGAACGATGCTAAGGAGATCCTGTGAAGAGCCAAGCATCTCCCCAGACATCTTATCACCATAGTGACAATGGGACCTACAATACTCTGCTCCTTGCCTCATGCACCATAGTCAGTCCTTTACACATCCTCTGGCTGCCGTCTCCCAGAAGCTCCCCCGCCCCCCCACCCCAACATCCCCTGATTCATTTACCAAGACCCTGTAACACCTATCCCAGAGGAGACATGAGACCCCTAAAACAGAAGTGGATTGTCAAGTTCAAGGTCCACTTCCTCCTCTCCCTGCCCACTTGAAGATGGAGCTCAGCCCACAGGAAAATCATGGCTTGGTGGCCTCTTTGCTTGCAGGGGGAGCTGGGGGAGGGAGGGAGCATGGTTAGAATCCATGAGATAAAGGAGCTGGAGGTAGTTATCCAAGAGGACACGTCCCTGCCCCCCCTCTCCCCCCATGGGACCATAGGCGAATAAGAAGGCCTGGCACACAGAGATCCAGAGCAGGCTGCCTGGGAATGGGGAGGGCCCACACGGAGGTCGCTGCTCCCAGCTTGCTCTGAGGCTTGTGACTCATCTCTGACTGGATTGTCTGGCTGGGAGTATGAGGGAGGGTGGGCGGCCGGCCCTCCAGGTTTGAAGTAGCTGAATGGTGTACCGCAAGTCCTTGTTACCTCCATTCCCCTCCCTTCCTGGCTCCCGGAATACCTCCACTCTGGAGCCCGTGGCAGAGATCAGACCCACAGAATGAGACCTGGGAGATTCCTGATCTGGTTGGAGAACAACAGACAGAAGAGGGGAGGGGCTTGGCCGTGTGAACGAGACTCAGTCATGTTCACTTACGTCCACTCACGTACGCAATCCCTGCTTGACTTCTGTCACATGCTGTCGGCTCCCTGGGTCTTCTAATGAAACCCTCATTTTACAGACAGCACCACAGAAGAATGAAGGGACCTGGTGAGGTAGTGAGCTTCCTTCCCCAGGTGGGCTTTGGGGACCATTTGGAGCAGGACGGCCATGTGGCAAGCTTTTATCCCTTCTGGAAGGTCTCCTGGGGCTCAGGGTGGAGCCACACAGGTCAAAGGAAGCAGGAAGGCACAGAGGCTGAGCCAGAGATGGAGAGAGAAGCTGAAGGGGTTTCAGGACGTTAGGGGTGCGAGTAGATGACTATGCTTCTAGGTGTCAAAAGTCCCTTATATACCAGCCTTTGACTGCTGGGGCTAGAACAGTCAGGTGAACTTGGACGGTGGCATACAATGTATCATACCATGGCAGTGGCAGAGTTCTTTACGGAACATTGCAGGGGCAGGTGTGCAGGTGAGGAATGCATTAGGTACACAAAGTGACTGTGGAACACCTTGGTGGGAAGGTAGCAGGTAAGCCAGGCAGAAGCAGCAGACAGGGCAAAGGTCCTGGGCAGCAAAGTGCACGGGTCATACTGAGGGACAGATGGATTGGGGGGGGGAAGAAGGGGGGGAGTGAGGATGAGTGTGTCTGCTCAGGTGACTGGGACATGGTAGAGACTGGAGAAGTGTAGGCTGCAGGTGTAGAAGGTTCTAGCAGCACCGTGCCTGCCATGTAGGATGTGCGCAGGGACTATATGCATCTCCCAGGGTTTGGTCCCTAGACTATCTTGAAAGGGTTTTATTCACCTTCCCCAGGCAAAGGCTAACCCTGGAGAGCTACAGGTGGGGTCCCAAGCAATGGAAACCTTTCTCTGGTCACAGGGTGCTCTCTATTTGAGGCTGAGACCCCGCTGGGGACACCCTCCATTCCTTAGGTACACGGTACCAGGTTTGTGGTGTGGTTCAGTGTAGGATGTAGGGAGCCCAGAGCACAGAAGGGGAAGGACCAGCAAACAGTGGCACAGAGGTGGGCAGGAGGCCTTGAGGTTTGCCAACAGGTGACTGGGTCACCTGCTAGAGTGTCAGAATGGGGATCTCAGCAGCAAGGAGGCCTTCTGTCTCTATGCAACCTCTGGCCCCATGTGTGCTGGGATGGACAAGGTGGCCTACAGGTTACCTTAATTTCCCTGCAGTAGCTCCTTATGGGATCAGCCTTCCGCCCCACCACTATAGCCTGAATAAACTATGGAGCTTGATTTCCTATCCACCAGTCTGTCTGCAAGCAAGGAAGCAGGTGTGGAGAGAAGCCCGGTTTGGGGTTTAGAGAATCCACAGACACACAGACATTTCTGCCTCAGAGCAATGGAATAGGAGAGGTGATCGCAGCGAAAGAGAGAGAGGCCTAGGTAATTAATGAACGGGAGACTGCCCTTTTAAATCAATTTGACTAAATAAGTTTGTTGTTTGGACAGGAAAAAAATGACTGGGGGGGAGTGGAACATGGCCCAAGTGGTAGACTATGTGCCTATCAAGTACAAGGTCCTGAGTTCAAGTCCCAATACTGCCAGCCTACCCCTGTCCCCCACCAAAGAAAAACAACTGGAAGTGTAAAACTTTTATGGCTCACAGAAAATGAATATACTGTTTTACTCTACTCAGACATAAATGGATTGAAGATTTCCACGGAAAAATCATCTTGATAATGAATTACATGTCACCCAAATTACAACGTACAAATGACAACTTCACAAACTCATATTCCTATGGGTCACAGAGATATTTAAGTAGTCTATGCCTAATGGAGATAGATGCACTCAACCTTTCTAAGCCTGAGTCTTCCCACAGACACAGTGGGAGCAATTCTAGGATCCTGGGACTCCCATAGCTCCCACCCTATTCCAGGTACATCAGACAGCTGTTGCCAGAAGTCAAAGAGAAAATGTTGCCCAGTGTATGGTCATAATGCAGACAGAGCAGGGCCTATGGGCTGTGTCCCAAATACCAAGTACGCCACTAGACACATAGTGAATTACTATCTGATGAATTCCTTGGAGAAGATGAGGGGTGGGAATTGAGGGAGGTGTAGGGGAGCACACCCTACTGGGTGAGTGGGTGAGGGTTATGGGGGACAGAGGAGAGAGAGGGAGATTTTGTGTAGGTGTGGAGGGCGCAGACATTCTATTTGCTGTACCAGGTCCCCACTTGACAACCAATACACATGGTTTTAGATTTCATCTCCCGCTCTTGGCAGCTAGGTGGCCAGGGACTCCATGGGTGTCCTTTGCTTTCTTTCCAGCTATGGGATTCTGTGTACCACCTTGAGCTGGGGTTCTATCTGAGACACCAGCCACAAAGACTAGAGCAGATCCATTCCTGGGGACAAGCCAGTTCTGAAGCTGTGACCTCTAGCCAGCTTCATTTCCTTAGGTTCATCACAGAGGGTGGGTAATGACCTAATCGCCTAGATGGACACATCGTATCAGCAAGTTGGCATGGCTGGGCCCTCAGCATGCTGGGCAGCTTCCTAGCCTTGGTGGCTGCTCTCACTGTTGTTTTTCTGTTACCAGTGGCATGGCCAAGCCACCTGACAGCCTGACTGCTCTCCAGGGAAAGCGATCCTCCTTCTACCTCCATGGCACAAAGTGGAGGGAGAATTGCTTTGTACCCAGCACATAATACACGGGGGCTGCCTCTGCCTGAGGCAGCAGCCATCAGTCAAGGACACAGTCAATGAGCACCCCTTTTGGTCAAGTACCCTAACCTAGGAGGAGAGGCTGGTATAGGCAAAGAACTCCTAGGAAGTGCCTGAGAATGGGGTGTTCCTGAGGAGAAAATTTGGCTTTACAGCTAGACTTCAATCCTAGGAGAGGATGGGGGAGCTTCATGCCTTCTGCCCCTCACTTCAGAAAAACTCAGCATCTACCCACAGTGGATACCCCTAAAGTGACACTTGTGCCCAAATGTAGGTGAGTACTGGCTGGGAACCCCAGGAGAATCATGCTGTTCAATCCTCCTGATTCACCTTCCTTGTTTCCAGTGGGGAAACTGAGGCACAGAGAGACGAAGTGTCTTAACCGCTAACTAGGAAGTCAGTCAAGATTGTTCAAAGCCCCTGAACCTCCTAACAGAACCCTGATAACTAATTCAGAGAGGGAAACAGAGGCATGGTAGGGCCGTCTGGATGTCGGAGGTGGCAGTACAAGGGACATCCTTTCGGCAGGTGCCAATGGGCCAGCGTGGATTGAAAACAAGGACCACTTGGAACTGGCTTCTCACACCTGTTATTTGTGACCACGGGCTCTGCTCCCAGCATGGGGCCTGGCTACCTATGCTGGCACTGGATGGTGGGCAGCCTTAGGTCGCCACTGTACACCGTCCTCAGGATCACACAGCTGGAAGGAGAGAGAGGAAGAGCCGTGTGGGGCAGGGAGGACCCTGTCCACTTTGGCCAGGCGTCTGGGAGCCACTGCAGTGCTGCCAGCGGCGCAGCCCTGTGGGACTCAGACTCAAGTCCTTAGAGTGCACAAGAAAGTCTCCCCAAATGGGGAGAAGGCCAGTGGGGAATTCCCTCCCTCTCTCCTTGGTACTGAGTCAGGACAGCAGGGCAGGGCTATCGCCCCCGGTGGCCCCTCTGTCAACAGCTCAAACTTCCTGGTTCAAGGGGATGGAAGGAAGGTCCAAGTTTAAAATTCACACAACCCCCAGTCTCCTTTCTCTCCCACCTCGGTCAAAAGTGCGCTCTAGTTTGACCCAGTTGTGTGGATTGCTCAGGCGTCCCCCAAACCCGACAGCACAGCCCCCCCACCCCCGCAGCGGGTCCATGCTGGTCATCCAGGGAGACCCTCCCTTCCCTGCGGCCCGGGCGTGGTCAGGGGTCAGCCTGAGTGCCAGCTAGGGGGGCCTGACCTGGGGTGCGGAGGTCTGCAGCATTCTTGGGGGTCCTTCTCCACACCAAGCGTTGGCCCACTCAGTGCGCCAACGGCGGACACCCCCCTCCACGCCCTCCCCAGCGCGCCCCCGGCGGAGAACCCCCTCCACGCCCTCCCCAGCGCGACCCCGGAGGGGACCCCCTCCACGCTCTCCCCAGGACGCCAAGGCAAGGACCTCCTCCATGATCTTCCCAGCGCGCCCCCGGCAGGGACCTCCTCCATGATCTCCCCAGCGCGCCCTGGCGGGGACCCCCTCCACGCCCTCCCCAGCTTGCCCAGGGGGGGACCCCCTCCATGATCTCCCCAGCGCGCCCAGGCGGGGTCCCCCTCCACGCCCTCCCCAGCGCGCCCCCGGCAGGGACCCCTCCACCCGCTCTCCAGCGCCGCCCCCTTACTCGGCTTGGCTGCCGCGCTCCGCCCCGTGCGCTGCAATGCTGGCTCCAGCTTCGGCTCCAGCTCCGGTTCCCGCTCCGGCTCCGGCTGCCGCTCCCGCTCCGGGTCCCGCTCGGATGCCACGGCGCTGGGGCTCCGCT